GAGCAGTGATTTCCTGTAGTCTCCTCAAAAATATTTTATTTGCAATCAAGAGGCATTTCTCTTAGAGCAAGCTTCTCTCGGGTTAGTATGGGACAGTATGTTCTGCGTGGATGTACCACATTTACGCACAGTATAGCAGAATAAATGCAAAGCGTAGAAAGCAGCAAAACAGGGAGCTTAAATGATTGAAAATGGTGAGATTTCTCAGTGAAGGTGGACAGCACTGTTTTTGCAAAGAGGATTTTAGAACTTAAGTGGCGTCCTGGTAGTGAGAGTCGTGGGCTACTGGGAAAAAGAATGGCTGTATTCACTATCTGGGTCAGTCACTATTATTACCAAGCATGCACATCAAAGTACCCACAGAGATAGAGTGGTGATAGAGGCATGGAAAGATTAACCACATCCCTCTGCTGTCAAAAGCAATTGCATGTGTTATGACCACCTTGCTCTCTACGAACCTCTCTTCATTACTGTTTATCTCAACAGGCTCTGTTGAACTCACTTTGCCTTCAGATTCTGTACACAAACTGTCAAGCAGGAATGGGAACTCGTATACATGGTTGCCAGCTCTGAATGCTTTAAGATTAAGTGTTCATTTTAAGCCAGAACTCTGTGTTACTGCCTGGTTTGCTTCCTGTGCTTCCTGGGTGTTTAGAAACCACAAGTGGCCAGCTTTTTGTAGTAAACAGCAGAGGTAATGTCAGTAATGAGAGGGATTAAAAGGGGGGGGAGGGGAGTAGAACAAAGTGAGAGAAGAAAATTGGAAAAAGGATACAGGATGAAAAAGCACGGTGTACACTGGAAGGCTCCAAGAGATACAGAAAGTGGAAGAATTTCAGTATCTTGCCTCAGCGTGTTTATCTAGACCTGTCTCAGACATTTCCCTTTGTCATGCCAGTCTGATCGCCTTCGCCTGCTATGGCATGCTGAGAAAACACACCAAAACACATCAAGCACCAGATTGCAGCGCCCTCGCTCTCAGATCTCCTGACACGTGTACAGCCCACTCCTTTAGGTGTTACTTAACGGTAAGAAAATGTATATTACTGGCTATAGACAGTGCGCACGTTTAAAATGTGAAAGCCATGCAGCACCGTTGCCTCACAGCACACCTGAGTTCAATTCCACCATCTGGCCGGGGTCTTTCTGTGTGGAATTTGCATGTTCTCCCTGTGTTTGCGTGGTTCTGCCCGCCCCCGGGCACTCCGGCTTCCTTCCCATCATCCAGAGCAGTTTGTGGGGATAGGTTAACTGGAAACTCTGAATTGCCCATAGGTGTGAATGCGGGAGCGAATGGTTGTCTGTGTATATTTGTTAGCCCTGCGACAGACTGGCAACCTGTCCAGGGTGTCCCCCGCCTCCCGCCCTAAGACAGCTGGGAGAGGCTCCATCACCCCCTGCAACCCTGAAAAGGATAAGCGGAGGTGAATGGATGGATAAAAAGTCATAGATAAGAAGCTACTTTAAGCTGCTCCCGTATTCACAAGGTCGTCACCACAGCAGGTAGCTCAGCATGTTTGATTTGGCAGTTTCTTTTTAATGCCGGATGCACTTCCTGCCACAATCCCCAAAGGGATTTGTGCTTCCTCCGGGAATCAAACCAGGGATCTTTCCCTTGATAGGCAAATGTGTAAATCGCTGCACTGTGGTGGATAACGTGCTGCATTTTGACTGTAAGGAAATACCTGCGTTCACAGTAGTGAAAATAGTATAATAATATAATATAATAATATATAATATATATT